TACAGGGTGTTTCATAAGTTTTGGGACGCAACAAAATTCGTTTATATAGACACACAGAACAATGTCTAACCATTATGTTTCTATACGAGCTTTGAGTATTCGTGACGGTCTTTCAAGTGATATATACATTTTCTCTTATAATAATAAAAATACAAACATGATAATGTAATGATGAATTTTTCGAAATCGACCAACAATAAAAGGTGTCCCAAGCTAATTGATGATAAAATGTGAATGATATTTTTCATATTTTTTCTTGACCTAAAGGGCTCAAAATTTTTATCACATACATATCTAATCAAGATCTTCTATTTGTGTAAGTTTCAGCTCTGTAGCTATGACTACTAGTGAAATACATCAATTTTGGTACTCGATTTTTGCATTATTTTCTGTAAATGGTTTAAAAACTATGTACCAAAATATATATTTTTCAAACTTGTCGTTGTATTTCACTAATAGTTATATCTAGAGAGCTGAAACTTACACAAATAAAAGATCTTGATTAGATATGTATGTGATAAAAATTTTGAGCCCTTTAGGGCAAGAAAAAGTATGAAAAATATCATTCACATTTTATCATCAATTAGCTTGGGACACCTTTTATTGTTGGTCGATTTCGAAAAATTCATCATTACATTATCATGTTTATATTTTTATTATTATAAGAGAAAATGTATATATCACTTGAAAGGCTGTCACGAATACTCAAAGCTCGTATAGAAACATAATGGTTAGGCATTGTTCTGTGTGTCCATATAAACGAATTTTGTTGCGTCCCAAGACTTATGAAACACACTGTATAGGATAGTGTTCCGGCGAACGCACATTTACAAAAATTCGGATGCAATCGGAGCGAAGCATCGGATTTCTGGCTGATTCATTCCCACAATAAAATTCGTCGAAAAAACAGAAGCGAATGGAGTAAAATGTAGTTTTGGTGGTATTTTTCTTTGTGTGAAGCGAAATAAAAATTGTTTTTTTGTCATTTCATGAAACATCTGTATAGGGTTTGCAATTAATGAACTTTACAACTTAAGTTTCCATTTAAGCACAACAAAATTGAATAAAACTTACATTAAGTAAATCACATAAATAGGGGAAATATCTTTGTCATATGTTTCTGTGGATAAAATGAGCTAATCGAACAGTCTAGTTGAATTCAATCCAGAAAAAATAATTTCGGGCTCAAAGGGTTAACAATTATTCACTAACTGCATTTTTGTATTTTGTTCAATAGAAAAAAAATATATGTAATGATTCGCTTCACTTCTATGACACCCCCCAGTGTTTTTTTCTTTTTATATATTACGAGTATGAAATTGTTTTTTTTCTGTTGATATAATACATGTGAAAGAGAAAGGAAGAGAATGCAAAGTATTATTTCGTATTTACAAGCCATTGAAAATACTCAAACAGTCACTTTTTTTCGCTTCATCAAGGTATGCAATATAAAGAATTGGAATTTATTGCTAGTGTAGGTTTTTCATAGGTGATATGGCTTCGGATTCAATAAAAACAAGAGCTGCAGATGTGTATAAGAAACCATTGAAATATGAACGACAATATGTGGAAAATTTCATCATCGTTTGGCTCGACCTCGTATGTGAAACAAATAATGATGTAACGAAAACGATTAAAGAAAAATTACAAGTAATTACTAATGATGTTGAAATATTCGATGACTCCAACGCATGTATTGATTATATTACTAATTTGAAAAACGAACATGTTCTATTCGTTGTTCCCAACTCTATTAATCAATGCATTCTGACAATCGTTCAAGATCTCTGTGCTGTCTCAGCTTTATATATTTTATGCTCATCAGAAGCGACTAATAATGAAAAATGGTCGGAGCCTATTCGAAAATTAAATGGTTTATTCAATAATATAAATGAATTGATCAAACAAATTCAATCTGATATTCGTCGATTTGAGCATGAACTTATTGGATCAGAAAATATTGATACATCAAATATTTCTTTTCCATCCTTAAGAAATTTTAATAAACAAGAATGTTCGTTTATGTATTCTCAATTATTAAAAGATATTTTCTTAAAATTTCAAGATAACAGTACATCAGAATTGGTTGAATACTGTCGAACAATTTATGCAGACAATCCTTTTCAACTTGCTATGATTAATGAATTCGAATGTGATTACCAAGAAAATAAGGCTATTTGGTGGTATACAAGAGACTCCTTTCTGTATAAGATGATCAACAAAGCTCTTCGCATTCAACATGTTGAAACATTGTACAATATGCGCACATTTATTCGTCATCTTCATCAGCAACTCATTCAACTTTCTCCAATAAATGATAAGACTCGGTCAATATCAATACTACATCTATATCGAGGTCAAAGAATGTCAATCGGAGAATTTGAAAAATTAAAGAATAATGAAGGTGGACTCCTTTCAGTATCTAATTTCTTGTCAACTAGTGTAAGTCTGGAAGTGGCACTCGTTTATGCTGGTGAATCTGATAATGAAACAATAGCTACGGTTTTCGAGCTTAGACTCAATCTGGATGATAAAACAAATAGTTCATTTGCTTGTATAGAACAATTTAGTCAATTCGGAGAAGACGAACACGAATGGCTTTTTTCAATGGGTACCGTTTTTCGAATTGGGGATATTGAATTACTCAATAACATTTGGCATATACATTTAACCCTTACTAACGATCAAGATGAGACTATAGAAAAGTTAACTATACACATGAGCAGAATTATACAAATACAACGTCCCAATCCAGTAGTACCTCTCTGTCGATTATTTGCACGAATGGGCAAATACCATAAAGCAATTGAATTATGTCAAAAGAACGTGAAATCAATAAATGAATGGGAAATGGAAGCAACACTAAATGATACTCTTGCTTTAATGCATGCTGATGAAGAAGACGAGGATTTAGCACTACATTACCATCAGCAGGCACTGGATATCGTTGCCGAACATGTTGACACGAATGATCCACTGCTTGCTTCTTATCATAACAACGTAGCAATAAGCTGCAGTGTAGTGGGCCAAGATGAACGAGCAATTGAACACTATCAAATGGCTATCAATCTTGAATTAAAAGCACCGCAGCCAGATTATACAAACATTGCGTATTCTTACGATAGCATGGGATGCATTCTGCATTATTGTTTTGAAAAATACGATGAAGCAATTAATTGTTACGAGCGTGCTCTTCAGCTTATGCTTGTACATCTACCGTCAACTCATCCTGATATTTTTTCACTATACAATAGTATGGCTAACACTTATGAAAAACAGAATAAGATGGACAACGCTTTGGACGCGTTATATAAATCCCTAGATGTACAACACAAGAGTTTAGAATGCCGTCCTCATGATCTTGCTCAAACGTATCGTCATATAGCTGAAATTTACGAAAAGCAGAAGAAGTTCAAAGAAGCTTTTGAATGGTTGAACAAATGTCACGAAATAGAAGTTTCCTGCCCTCCACCGGAAGATTTACACTTGGATAATATCAATCTAGATACTTTGTTTGATAAGTTTTTCCGATCCGATAATACTTTATAATTTACTTGAGTTTTTTATTCGAACATTGATATTTTATTTTATGCATCATACACAAATAACATTTGTAGCTCGTGTCTCGTACTTTATTTAGCTAACATACATTTATTCCGTTGGTCATACTATCTTTGAAGCATGGATCTAAAAAGCTTATATAATAAAAATTGATGTCAATTTTTTATTCACAGAATGAGTAAAGTCTATTGCTAATAAACATGGAATTGCATATAGGTTGATTGGCAATAAACAAAATCAAGTGTGATTGAAAGCTTAAAATATCAATAGATGAATGGACTAATTGTTGATAAGTTGTAGGTGCAATTCAATGTTTTATTCTTCAGAGCTTCGCAATCTAAACTAAAGCATGATGATCCTCGTATGCCACAGACAAAAAGAAGAACATGATGAAGCTAATAATCAGAAGATTGAGCAAATAAATGACGGGGGCGTATAAGCAATGGAAAATGGACCCCTAATAATTCACCGACGGATCATTATCAATTCTATGTAGAAAAATTACGAGAGTTTTTTTATCCTGAATTTAAGCAAAACTTCGGAGAATGAAGGTCACTTTGTGGTGAAAATATTGTAAAAACTTGTAGGATCTTTGGTGTGTTTTCAGTATATTCGTACTCACTCAATATTTGACCAAAACGTAAACGTTTTTCGAAATATTGTAAGCTCAATTTGTCTTTATTAGAAAGAGCATTTAATTCTGCATTAATTCATATAAGAACTGTTTTTTTTGACGAATTATTAGCGACATTAACGAGACTATCCGAGAGTAGGGGGCAGGGCAAAAACCTGATTTTAGGCCCTGCTCTGGTTGCCCTGCAGGCCAGGGCAAAATTTTTTGCCCTGCTAACTTTTTCCTAGAAACATTAACTAAAGAAAGATTTTCCATAGAATATCTATCGTTTATATCAAAAATAGTTAAAATAACTGTCAATAAAATCTTATATTAAATTTGATTCTTTTATAGGTTATCAAAGTGCAACTTTTCAGATTTTCATCGGTTTTTTTGTTGTTTCTGATGTCATCAATGTTCGTTATTATACGTTGAGTTTAGTTGATAGATGCTTCAATTTTATTTCAATATTCTGTTACTCTCATACATGGACGTGTCCATCAAGACGTCCAAATAGCAACCATATTTTTGGGGTGTGGGTGCGGGTGTGTGGGATGTTGGTGTGGGCATGTGGGTGTGGGTGTGGGTGTGGGTGCGGGTCGGTGGGATGTGGGTGTGGGTAATTGTGGGGTGTGGGTGATTGTGGGGTGTGGGTGTGGGCGGAATGTGGATGTGGGGTGCGGGTGCGAGTGTGAGTGTAAGAAAGAACTACACCCACACCCACACCCACACCCACACCTTCACTAACGAACATATCTCGAAAGAATTTGATCCATCCATTTTTTATATTGGTGAAAATGATGCTTTTACAAATAGTCATCCAGAAACAATAGAGAAGGCTAATGTGATATGGTCTAGTTATCTAAATATGAAGCACAGTCAGTTGTTTGCTGTCGAGATAATGAAAACTAAACCTGGATCCAGTACAAAAGTCGAAACGATTTTTGAATTTTTGAAACAAAACGAAGATGCTATTTGTGTCCAGCACAATGCAGACGCAAATGCCACTATTGTCGAAAGAATGTTTATTTTTCTCATTCCAGAAGTGTTACTTTAGTGACTCGTCAAATGTGTGAAGAAAAAGCTGGCAAAGACCTTGTATTTATTGAATGAACATGAAGCAGTGCAAATAAGGACACCATTGTCATGAGAAACTAATTAATATCATAGTTTTTTTACTGGTGATAAACAGAAAGATATAAATAAAAATTTATAAAAAGCAACCATTCTCACGTTTTTACATACAGTAAATCGCACATGTCTATGCACGAGTATAGCTTTGTACTTACTTATTAAACCAGTAAAATCTATAGTGTTTTCAACTACGTCAAATCTTGTCATGAAATCAGGGCCGGACAATTTTTCCTAGTAGCCGAGATTCGTATTGCCATCACAAACACCGACATGTTTGTTTTTACACAAAGAGCGATTGAACAGCAAGAACACATGTAAATAAAACAATAGTATCACATTTTGGTGATTTTCTATGTGTGTATCCAAGCGAACTCCAGGACAGCTACGATGTTCCAAAATCAGGACAACCACGAAGGGTTAAGGAAGAACTCAATTCGAAATACTATTTTATATATATGAACTTTTTTCATGTTGCATATGTCTTTTCTTTCTGTCATCAACCATCGGGCATCATCAACATGAGAAAACTGAATGAAGTAGTGCGCATACACAATGATATTCGAATACGAACAAATCATACATATAGTTCTAAGGATAAAACGAAAGTCAAAAGATTCAATATAGCAAGATAATGAGATAGAACAAGAGACTATAACATGATACAGTAAAGTCTAGTAATCTTAGTATTCAAAATATTTGAGACCAAGCTTGAACAGTTCAATTTAGATAGCAATCGATTCAATTCGTAAGTTAGATTTATATTTATGTTGTCATCAAAAGCTTGTTAAAAAAGAATTAAATATGAAAGAGAAACTGTTTGATTTAAATCAACAAGAATCAGCTGCATTCACTTTTGAATATATAGTGCAAATGTTAGTTTTCTCAGCTGTTTACTGAAAGACTATGTATTAAACGGAATCTATTTAAAGGATTGATGTTTAACGCTTTTAGTGGCAGATATATGAGTGACCTATATACTCAAATTATGAATGAGCTCAAATAGGTCTTACGGGATAATTTATTTACACATAAATTGGGATTTTAATACTGAACAAGTTGTACTGTTTTTTATTTTTCCGACTATTGTTCCGCAGAATATTTTAAAAGGAAATATTTTTGCAACAGCCAAATTGGATAATAGAACCTTTTATCATTCTACTGTTTGTTTGCGACCTATCTGTAATATCGAAACAACCTTCACAACATAAGAAATGAAATAGAAAAAAAATCATTCAACTGATAGTATGCCTAATTATAATATTGTTCAGCTATCTAATCAATATTGCTATACGTTTTTATATTTTCAGTTTTCTTTATATTTGTATCACACCTCTGAACTATTTTTTCATAATTGTAAAATGCTTCGATAGTCCTGATTTTTCATTGGCAATGTAGATGACAAGAAATAAGTCAAGTATATCATTATTCTTGAAAAGAAATTTCATAATGTATTCGATATTTCATCTGAAATACGTGAAGCAGACATGAACCAAATATTGTCCATTTCTAAGAGAGAGCCATTACATCCATGGTTTCTATAGACACAGCCTTGTCAATGATGCTTTTTATCAAAACTGAGAATTGTCGGTGAAAAGAATATGATATCTTTGTTTCCTATCTTGATTTTATTGAACATAAATTGCAATCGTTTTTCTTATTATTTTTGTATCGAACCGAATTCTATACAGATAACGACAGGAAAAACCCCTTCCGACTATGGATATGACGAATGAAACGACTTTTTCCTCTAACTGAAATTATCAAATCAATTAAAAGACATATCGTAAGAAAAAAAAGAAAAAAGCAAGAAATAAGTGCTTGATCTAATTACACTATAACCAATTACAATTATATTAGGACTACATTCATCCGAAGTATTTATAGCATCTGCTACAATGTTAACAACATCACAACCTGTAGCAGCTACTTCTAAAGAATTTTCTGTTAAACTACCTAAGTAAGTCATATTCTTATCATCTAATCAACTATCTGAATTAAAATGGAATTTTATTATAATAAATAAACTAATTCGTAAGAGAAATGTTAAATATCGATAATAAATTTTTTCGAACTTGAATCAAATCTATCATCTTTCATGTGTAGAATTAGAGCTCAATATGGAATTATGGAATTTGCAAGTGGTTTCTCAATCGATATAAAAGATTGGAAAGCCATTGATATGAAACGTGAAATCAATCCATGCACTTACCGTCCAGCAGTCGATATTAATCATGTCTCATCAGCATCGACATTATTCACAACATCACTTGGTATTGTTTTATCTAAAACCGGTGCAGGAAGTGAATATGGTCGTGAACAAAAAGAAGCATTAAAACGCAAACGTTATTCAACTAAAGGAACAAATATTGAAGATTTTCCTTGGTTATTAACAACTCATTCATCAACAGAAAAAAATTTAAAACATTATCAAGGATTAAAAAAAGGTGGTGCACCAGCAAATTCATCTTATTATATATTTATACAAAATAAAGATGGTTTTGAAGCATATTCTCTTGAAGATTGGTATGCATTTACATCAACAAAGATTTATAAAACATTTGATTTCGACGAAGCTGAAAAATAATATCAAGAACAGCATAAACATTTAAGTAAATGGTTTTTACAACATCAAATTAAAAAAGAACATGATAATGATGAAAAAGAAAATAAATCAAAAACTAAAAAAAAACATTCTTTTAAATTACTTGATTGTGAAGATTGGATTAATGATCATGAAGAAAGTAAGAAAAAAAAATTGAAAATGAATTTTTATTTTTATAAATTCTATTTTAGATGAAGATGAAAATGAAACCAGTCATACAAAAGTTAAAAACAGAAAGACTACTAAGAGTCAAACAAATGAAAATCCAGAATATTTCGATGATGGGGATCATGAATGTAAGAATTCATGGATTAGAATAGAGATGCATGCAGATAGCGGGATTGAAGAAACCAATCCTTTCCTGACAATTCAAAAAAACCTGAATAGGATATAGAATGATTAGTTGTCACAAGCTAAAATTACTCTTTTCTACAACACTCTACTTCCCTTTCTAAGATCTGTTGATTATGTGTCATTTATGATTAAAATATCAAAGATCAGTGAAATTTCAGATATTTTTCGTAAAGTGAATAAACAATGGATTCATACTTAATTCAATTAGAAAAATTATAAGGACTTGTCTCGCCTCGTACTCTATGCTATATTTTAGAAAAACTATTAATAAAGCAATTATAGACATAAAGTCTTAGCTTGTCGATTACATCAATCCTATGGATCAATAATTACGCATCTTATTCTGTGTACAGTTTCATTCGATCATTTCAGTGATTATTGAATAAAAATGATATGAGTTTTGATCCTTCTCTTTTAATAGCTATAAAGTTTTATCATCAATATGGGTCTTCATTAATCGTCTTCAGCTATTCATTTGTTGTTTTAAAACAATAAAAACATCATTACTGTTTTGATCTCGAACCCGATATATTAGAATTTAGAACTATCTTATTCATTGATCCATCCATAATAATAAATAAATAAATAAATAAATATGTCCACCGATTTTATTTATTCATATTTTTTATCAAAATTGATGTCTTGTAAGCTTTGATTCATGTTGATATGAACCAAATGGTTTCTTTTACTCATAGAGATTCAATAATATTTTCAACATAAAATATTTTAAAATTTTTTGAATTCTATACTTTGTTTATCTTGTATACGTTTTTTTCAGGTGATGAAATTGATTATACAAGTGATGAAACATCGAATGATGAAGATGATATTAAAGGTAAGTATTTTACTTTTGGAATGTATTTTAATTTTAATTTTTAAATGTCAATACAAATAAATCATCAATGAAGTATGAAGTTAAAGGTTGTAATATCATTTATATCGAAGTTTAATTTGAAGATTGCTTTTTGTTATATATAGGTCTTGATGAAGAAATGAAAATAATGCCAAATATAGGGGAAAAAATGAAGCAAATGATTGAAAATGAAAGTGAATTTGACTTTGATCATGATGATGAAGATATTTCTGATTTAGGTTTGAGATTAAAAATAATTTCAAATGTGAAGAACATTTTGCTTTTATCGTACAGATGAAAATGATGAGAAAAATGATACAATAACAGCTGATAATTTGTCCAATGTCGGTAAATTACTCAAAAATGATGCAGTTAGTCAAAGTATGAATTAAAATTATATTGATGAAAAAAAACGATATTTTAGACATGGAATCAAGTTCAGATGATGATAATAATCTTGACCAGTTAGATGATCTTAAGAAAGAGCCAATTGAATCGATTTCTGTAAATAGAATAAAATCTTCTTTTTGATTCGAAATTTAATGTCTTTTTATTTAGAGTTCTATTTATATTCAATCGATTCTATCTGAACAAATTAAAACTGGTAAATATTGTTTATAGCACTGTATATGTTTGCCAAAGTCAATTGAATAGAAAAATTTCTCGGAAGTTAAGACAAACGATAATATTGATCAGAGTAAAAAAGCTTTGACAAAAGCTTTTTTTATTTGTATCGTATTGGACATGTACGTTCAAGAAGGCGGCAAAATGAATAAGAATAAATAACTTTATATCGGCTATGTTGTTTCGTAAGACGAAACCTCGTCAAATGATAAATCGATTTTGAAATGAGTCTTACTTAATAAGATCAGTTCTGTTGATACTTGAGAAAGTTTAGAAAGATTCATGCTCATGAGTATGTCTTCTTATGCTATGGACATTCTAGTGCATTTTTTATAGGATCGTATGATCTACCTTAAGTGATATTCAGGATCAACTTTTCAATTCAAATATTATACAAATAAAGTTCTCAATAAGATTAGTACAATGTGAAAAGATAAGACTTTCCTAGTATTTCCTATCTTAACATAGTGAATATTGAAAACTTTTCTATGAGAATAAACAAATGTTTGTGATGTATTCCGGAAAGAAGATACTACAAAGTCAAACTGTTTTAAAACGAACTAATACTACTAAGAACTTTGTTTGTGTAATGTATGAACTGAAAAGTCGATTCTAAAGATGATTTGAATGCAGCTCTGACTCATGTTGACAAAATTAGTAAAACGATCATAACTCAAGAACTACTCATGAACACGAAACCTTTCAATATTTTAATCTGATTATGACTTATCTAATGAGATAAAACTCATCCTCGAACGAATTTATTCCTGAGTAAGATTCTTTCATGAGAATAGTTCGATAAGAACTGAAATCATTTGGATTTTATTCGTTTTCAGTTAAAAGAGCATCAGATATCAACGAAAAGCTGCTCACAATAAGTGTATGAAACAAAGGACATATAGACACTGTCTAAAACAGCTTGGAGTAAATTAAGCTATTTCAATGGATACAAAAAACAAAAGGACATTTATATTTAAATTTTAACCTAACAACAATTCCAATGAATAATATTCTTTTTAATCCTTATTACAATATTATACAAAATTTCAAATTTCCATTGGAGTAAAATCTTTTAATTTCAATAATCTCTATAGTTTTCTGTCCAATCAACTAAAAGACTTAATGTAATAATCTATTCAGATGATTTTAATTTTAGAAAAAGGTCATAAGAAAGCAAAAGAAAAATAAATACGATGAATTAAATCTAAAGTTATGTCTTCATCAAGTACATCATCAAATCCTATGTTTGTTTTTTTCTTTTATTTCCTGATTTAAATATTGATGATGATATATTTTAGTGAAACAATTGCTGAAGATAAAATTCATAATTTACTTTTATGAAAACATAATATGACATTTACTGAATTAATTCAAAACTTTTTACCTAAAACAGAAAATTTACGAAGAAAAAAGAAATCAAAAAAAGGCATTGTTCAAAAATTAGCAACAATTCTAAAACGTATTAATATTGAAGAAAAAATTATCGATAGTAAAAAAAATATTAAACTTAAAACAATTTAAGAGATTTTCCATTCATCAATATACAACTGTATGTTTATGTTAAAATTTGACTTTTTCAAATTTCCTTGTTTAAATAAATTAAAAAAAATGAAATTCACAATCAATACGAAAGGAGAATATTAACACAAGAAAAAAATTGAATAAAATTATATTTAATGTCAGAGATAATATGTTCTTTTAGTATTCTTAGCACAACATTCAATAAAATCAACAGTATCGATCTTTTCTGCCATAACTCGACCTCTTTTGAGATCGAATAGGTTCTTATTTCATTCTCATTAATTTTCTCTTAGTTGTTTCATCATTTCATAATTCTTTTGTTTATTACCTGCCAAAGTTTCTTATTAAGTTTGATATTGTCTAGTCTTTATAAAAGAAAATCTAGTAGAAGAATCTAAAAACTCCTTGATGAAATACCATAGTAAATGAAAGAAATATTTGAATAGTAATTAGATTCGAGTAAACCTGTATTCCCATATAATCGAGGAAAAACATATCATTTTATATTTTTGTTTTAACACGAAGTACGAGATTGGTACTAAACAAAAAAAACCGATACTATTCTACTGCGTTTATTCAAGTCGAATACGTAGGTTTTAGAAACGAAATTACAAGACTTAATTTGACATAGATATTATGTAGCATATGCGATAACTATTTCAAACTTAAAAAATAATACAATAAGCAATATTAGTATTGAAGTTTAGTCTAATCTAATTATAAAGTGTCTGGATGTGGATGTGGAATCTGAGCTATCTTTCAACGCACACATGCACATCTACAACCCAGCCACACAAACACCCTTTCTTCGACGAATCGATTTTAGACAATTAATTCAAAATTACTAGGAACTAAACATTTCCGGTAATGACTAATTACAGCCAATGTTAGTATGAAGAATTACGGACAACGAATAAAAATGATGAAATATCAATATGAATTATTGAAAATAAATTAAAATATACGTGTCAAAACAACCTATACCAAGATTTTTATTAATCGGTTTCGATTCAAAAGCTTGTAAATTAACTTGGGGTTCATGATGTTATACTATAAATATTTTTATATTTGTGAATTTTACTTCGATCATTATCACTGAACTACTTTCAATATATTCAAAGCTTTAAAGAGTTTGATAGAGTATTAGCAGCATCACTAGATTGTCGATGATTCTTAATTCCATGATTATAATCGATGTCTCGTGATTTGAGACGAGAAAAAAACCATAAACTACTGACGACAATTGATCATTTCGAAAAATTGATTTTAATGGTAATTCTCCATTTAATTTCTAAAATTCAGAACTACTAGATTTTCACCAATTAACTTCATTTCAAATGGATGAAAATCATTGATATTTTGATTCTTAGTCTTATTTCTTGTCACATGGAATACCATCAGCAATGAATATGCAATATTTAGTCGATCGTATTGAATGATTATTAAAAAAAACAGATGCATATTTGTTATAACGCACATTTTTTTTAATTAATCGATTGATTTCGTATATTTTTATCGATTAAGTTGCGCGAGCAACATGAGACAGAATAAGCAAAATTACGATAACATTTATACGTAGCAAACGAAATATTGTAAATAAATGTGATCGGAAGGTAATTTTAAGTACGAATGAATGAATACAAACTAAACTTATGTCACAAGGTAAGAATAGCAGTGTAATGCTTGAATTTTAATTATAGAAGAACATCAATATATTACATATTTATAATAGTGGCGGATATATAAGGTTTCGAAAGAATACAACAAGTAAATGTAAGTCTTCGATAACTGCAGTCTTTTCAAAGTGTTTTTTTTTATCATGAGTGTCGAACAAAGTTTTTGAGTTCTTCAATGAAGCTACTATCCATGTATGAATTGATTTTCGCATAATTGTTATTGTCTTCCTTGTGAGAAAAATTTTGAAAATTGTTAACGAGAGGAACAGCAAAGATTAGATATACTGTAAAGACGTTCGCCTCACAAAATATCCAAAATAACGATTATCTATCCTGTTCCTGAATATTGCTATAGAAATACAACGGTTCAATATTGTATTTTTGTAGCATTCAAAAAGATCTGTTAGGCTGAAAGTTAAATATAATGTTACGTAAAAAAAGAAGTGCTGCAGAGTAATTTTGTAGATCGGATTTTCTTTCAATGAGAATTTGAAGAAGAATGTCCCAAACATAGAATATTCAGAGCGAATAATTTTAACAACGTATTGGCTAGTTTTGAGCAATTTCTTTTACGTCTTGAAGCTTCTTGGAAGTCATTTGAGGACGTGAGTACAAATTGTAAAGGTAGTAACTGGTCAGAAATGCAAATATTTTGATAGTGGCTAGTGCTCAAGGACTCTTTACCCTATTTTCAGTCGATGTGAACAGTTGCAACCCACAAGCATTTTGATTTTCAAGTCTTCTACGATATTGGTCAGATCGTAGGGAATTATTTAAGCAGATCCACCGCTGAACGCTCATGTCAATCTTTTTTTCATAAAGGGTTCTAGAATGTCATTGTATCTAGAATTACTCATCAGAATTTTTCGTTTACTGCGAACAAATACGATCATTCAGCATCTCGGTTTCTGTATCATTGAAGAACACTGTGAGCACTGTAGTGTGAAATATGGGAACATGTACGAAAAACCAAAAGTTGTTTTTATTTAGCAAGGGCATTAGCCCTGAAAGAACTGTAGTATCCAGATTCCTTGTAAATTTTCTCTCTCGGTCCACAATTATGTTAGACAAGCAATTCTAAGTTTTCTATCATTCGACGAATGTGGATGTGAACCGGTAGGTATAGGTGCACATCTACAGCTCAGCCTCATCTACACTCAAAAATTACGTTAATATTTGAGATAATTCATGTCTCCAGAGTCATTTGAGCTTAAACTTTTACATTATCTACTACATGAGTACCACTATACATTAAAAAGATCTCAGCTCGCTTCAGTTTATTTTGATCGCAATAGTGATTTTCTCCGATAGGATGTCTCCTATGACTGTGATAGTAAAAAAGTGCGATCTACACAAAAGCAAACTAGAGGCACAAACATTTTTTTAGAGTCGACATTATTCATCAAGGTCTAATAGGTGCACAAAGTCCTGATTTAAAAGCGAATGAGCATCTGAGAATGGTCCGTTATTAATTGCCTAATTTTTTTCCCAAGAGAGAAATGGAAATTTTAAAATTGTTTTTTCACAAAAGGAATGAAATCTAAGGAAGCTGACATCGCAGCAGTTGTATACTGTTTCCAGACCGAGAAAAAATCCATGATCTTTGACTAGGTCCTTTTACTATAGAATTATGATAAATGAAAATCTTCTTCTTCAACTATGTGATAAAACTAAAATATACTACGACTTCATTTCGATTACACATAACATTAATATAAATTGATAAGAAAAATGCGTTCTTAATTTTATTGGAAAGATGAATAAAAATACAAATAAAAACAATTCGTTGCATCAAGGTAG